TTAAAAAAAAAAAAAAAACCTACAAAAAAAAAAAAAAGAATTATACATCTTGATCTTTTTTTTTTTTAAATTACCAATTGCCTGAAAAACTAACTCAGCACAATGTCAAAACAATTAAAAGATAAATGAGGTTGCTTATGAAGGCCATAGCTTTGGTGACAACTTAGAACCAAACTTGAGATCTGCAGTCGGTCCAGACCTAAAAGTTTGCTCATGCCTGATGCTCCCATTTATTTGCAGGGCTTTATGGCTACAGCATATTCTTCACTCATTGCACACATGACAGACACCTAGAAGGGGAAAATGCAAGCAAAAGTCATTCATAAGGGAAGACACACATGATGTATTTAATTCATTATATACTGTATATTCATGGACATTTTATACATATTAACTTTGGAAAGATACCTCTTTCCAAGACCAAATAATCTACTTTGTGTATAGTTTGCTAGAAATTTCTTAAATTGTGGTTTTTAAGGCAACTTCCAGGGAACAGGGAGAATAAGAGCTATTAATGTTTCAGTACTTATTAGATGTTATGTATTTCCACAGCATTCTTTTTCATACTTAAAAAATAGCTCGGATGTTGATCTTCAAAACAAATTTGAGGCTGACTGTCTATGTAGCAAGAAATTTAACTTTGATACTTTCTTTGATAATGGCCTCTAAGGATATCATGGGAAAACTGCCTTACAAAGATCATGTTCAACATTTCAGCAGTATTTTAAACTACTTTTTATGTAAGTATTTTACGCAAAAAAGTTAAAGCCAAATTTTTAAAAAATGGTTTCAAAAAATAATTTTCTCATAGGTCTTTACCTGTACGTCTTCACCTGCATTGTATTTTCCTTCTATTTCTTTGCCTAGTTCACCTTCTGGCAGTTTAAGATCCTCTCGAACTTCACCAGTTTCTGTCAGCAGGGACAGGTAACCATCCTGAATGCATATCAGCTGTTGAGAGGAATTATATCATTTGCACTGATTAGAATACATCCACTCCTCTGTAATATTCACATAGTTAAGTTGCAATCCATATTAATTAGTATAAGTATGGAGTAATACATTAATATATTCTTCATGCTTAAAACATGCTAGACATATAAAACTCTAAAATACGTAGACTAAAAGTGTAAGTCTACACTCCTCCCTGCACTCCCCCTGCCAAGTCTCTACATTATTAAACAGTTTAGTCTTCTTTATAATGTATCCTGAAGAATTTACAACTTATGTACATAATATAAATATAATTATTTAAAGAAATATAAATTGTATAAGTATTTTTCAGCAAGTTGTTTTCACTTAATAACATATCTTAGAACTCTTTCCAAATTGGAAAATATGGACCTACCTTTAGTGTCTTTAACCACTTCACAAATGCATAGATACACTGTAACTAATTTAATCATTTTCCCATTAATGGACATAAAGGTTATTTTTCGTTTTTCACAATTACAAACAATGTGTTCTTCAGTTTAATTATGAACAAAGTGGAAAAATTTTAGTCTCCAACTCACTGCTAACAACACCAGATTTTTTTAAAAGGACAAACACTAGCTTGTTGATGACAAAATGAAACAAACCCAGGTATCAACCTAATTTGCAAGAAGACACTATTTTGATATAACTGAATTTCTTTTCTTATAGACATGAGGAAACAGCCAGGCTGCACTCATTATTCTGAAAGCATGTATACCATCAGTGTGCCTAGAACTCAGTGTAACAGGTTTTATAGAAGGCAATCACCCCGAATACCAGATGTTAACACTGAACTACACAGCAGCAGTCAAAGACGTGGTCCTGGACCCCCTTTAACTAATGTCATATAATACAGCCACGCTGTAGGAGTAGAGTTTCAAACCTCTTCCTCGATGGCACTACCAAAGCTGGCTACGGCCTTCCACACTAACTCCAGCTACCACAAGAGATATCAGTCTTGCACCTGTCTGAAATCTCAAAAACAAAAAAACCATAAACATCCTACAAAGCAAGGACACCACCTTTTTTTTAAAATCCTCACCTGAGGATATTTTTTCCATTGCTTTTCAGAGAGAGTGGAAGGGAGGGAGGGGGGAGGGGGAAGCACATCCTGACGGGGGCTGGGAACGGAGCCTGCAACTGAGGTACATGCCCCTTGGCCAGAATTGAACCTGGGACCCTTCAGTCTGAAGCTCTAGCCACTGAGCCAAACAGGCTAGTGCTCAACCACAACACTTTTAATCTTTATGTCTCTCAAACATTTGCGAGGTGATTGATAGAGGAGTGGGGAATAAGGAGGTTGAAGTATAATTTTTAAACAATTAACTACAGGCTTACAAGGCAGATCTTTTTGATTTTGGTTATTTTAGCAATTCCCTGAAGTGGAACTTGTCTATTTCAAGAGTTAAGGTTCCATTGCCATTAGTGACTGAAACATAGAAGCCTAATAATAATACTTGTATTTTGATATTTATTTACATAGTGGTGGTACTTTATTTTTTTGAGTCAAGAATTCATAAAATAAACTGTGGGATGAAATATAAAGCATTTCAAATTTTTAAAAAAGTACAAACATATCATAAAATATAATGTAAAAATATATTTATATATATAGTAAATATCTTATTAAAATAATTGCTTTATAAATACAATTAAAATTTTAAAAATAAAACTAAGCTATAGAAAAATAAAATTAAATAATGAAAATGAATTATTTGATCTTTCCTAAATTATTTATTTTAAAAATTTTAGATATACAGAAAAGTTATAAAAATAATGCATGAAAATCGCTTATCTTTTACCTAGATTCACCCACTGTTAACATTTAACCACGTGTTCATTTTCCTCTCTGTATATTAAATAAATATCACACATTCTAATTCTTTTCTTATTTTTACTGAACCATTTGAGAATAAGTTTCACACAAGTCTTTAGCAATAAATACTTCACTGCATTTCTCCTAAGAACAAGGACATACTCTTATATAACCAGTTAAGTTTTCAAAATTGGGAAATTCAGCATTGCTAAAACATTATTCAATATACAGTCAATATTCAAACTTGCCAATTGTCCTAAGATTGTCTTTGATAGTAACTTTTCCCTCCCAACTCCAGGATCTTACCTTGTATGTATTTGGCTGTCATATCAGTTCAGTCTCCTTTAAATTGAACAGTTCCTCACCCTTGTCTTTTCTGACATTGACATTTTTGGGAAGCACAGATTGACTGTATTATACAATATTCCTCATTTGGGGTTTGTCTAACTGTTTCCTTATGATTCAGGTAATGCATTTTTGGAAGGAATACTACATAAGTGATGTGTCCTCAGAGAATCACATCAGAAGGCAAATGATTTCAATATGTGCTATTACTTGTGACATTAACTTTGATCACTTGGCTAAGGGGGTATCTGCCAGATTTTTCCACTGTAAAGGTGCAATTTTCCCTTTTTAAAAAAATTTGTAACCTTAAAAAAAAAAAAAAAAAAA